TAAAATATCCTCAACCTCCGGCTAACATCCTGCAAGACTAATACCTTTTCTTCTTCTTTTTTTTCACTTCACCTCCGGCTAACATCCTGCAAGACTAATACTTTTTCTTCTTTTTTCTTTTCACTTCAAAAAATAATTTAAAAAATTTAATTTTTTTGTAAAAAATAATTTTAAAAAATTTAAATTTTTTGTATTAATTGCAAATTGTTTTAATATGCTGATGTAGTAATAAATTTTAAAAAATAAAAAATATTATTTTAATTTATTTTAAAGAGAAAAATATTTTACAAAATAATTATCACAACAATAACAAACAGCACTAATTTTCGTTACGACCAGCCTCTAAATTCCTTTTACAACCGCATCTTAAATTGGTTATTCACATTTAAAATCATGTATAAACCGGAAAAAAAAAATGACTAATTTTTGGATTCAGAGTTGAGATAATGATGTGAAAACAAAGAATACCTTCAAATGAGGTTATCGCAGCGATTTATCGATTTAAAATCCGTTCCGGACAGGGTCATTAAAAAGGCTGATTTTTCTTATCAAAATTGACATTATTTCAAGTTTTTTATTTTTTCAAAAACAGTCAAAAGGGTGAGCTGACCCGTATGAACCCTTTTCAAAATGAGTCTGAAGTGTGAGCCAGATTGGCCTCTAAACGGGTCTTCCAACTATGCCTGGAAGTATTAAAGTGAAAAAATAATAATTATGCTGGTACTAGCCTGACCAATAGAAGAGATTGATTTGGTATTACGGTACCAATCAATCTGAGATCATATTTAGCTTAGCTTTGGTAAGCTTTCTAAAAACAAAAAGCTAAGACTATAATGCTGGCATGGAGATTCCGAAAGTTAATCTACCCAGAAGAGGAAAAGAAAATATAAACTGGTTGATGATAATCGGTATTCTCTTAGTGGGAAGGGGAAAGTTTAAAGAATGAAGAGCTCGGACCTACAACAGAAATTTGCTTATTGCCATGCTGTCCATCTTAATTGTTTTTGTGGCACTTGGGATTTACTCAAAGTAGTTAAACAAGAGAACTGAGGGAAAAGATATTGTAATGACAGGTATAAATCCACTAATAACACAAATAAAAAATGTCTGCCTAGCTACAAACAACGGTCTCATAGAATACCTTTTTTTCGAGAGACTTATGGTCCTGACTCCACGGTCCAACGCCTGATCTCTCTCTCTTTATGAGCAAAGATGGAAGCACTACTATTAATAATCAAAACAGAAGATGGGAGCAGGTTGCATCTTTACAAACTATTAGCTAACACTGATGGTTGTGCTTGTGTATAATCACGATCACTCCCCTCCTCGGTACAAAGAGGAAAATCATTGAGAAAAGCGTGTCCTCCACTCTTCATCTCATGAGTTTTCAGGCTATTCACAACCCAGAACCCCCCAAACCAATCGGTAAAATGAGCCCATTCATTGAACCCTGTGTGTTTCGCATCATGCATGAAACGAACTTTCACTCCTGCAGCCGCAAGGCAGATGCAAATTCTAGATTACACCATAACGAGCATGCTTGGAGACACCAACTAGCCTGGTCATCAAGCAACAAGATTCTTGCAGATTGGGGAAGAGACAAGCGTGAAATGCCATCAGACACGCAACCAACCAAAGACATCATGGCATCAGCATGCGACTGCAACATTCTCTGGTTGAGATTCCAAGCTGTCAGAATTGATGACTAAAGGACTTTTCTGGAATTCATTTCTTAGTTGACCACAAGCTGCACTTGCATCCAGGCCCCTTGTTTGGCGCACGCTTACAGTTATTTTACGAGACTCTAGCACAGCTGCAAATGCTTGTATCTGCCAAATGGAAAAGGCACAAGTAAATAGAAATGGCAATGCATGATTTGAATATTTGTGTATTCTTACTGCCAGCAGGGAAAGAACAGTGTTTATGACTAATGTGCATACCGCCTTTTTGTGTGGACGCTTGTAATCAGAACCTTGGATTGGATTGAAAGGAATCAGATTCACATGATGACCACGCCCCCACTGGTGAAGTAGCTCAGCAAGTTCTTTTGCATGCTCCACTCTATCATTGACCCCAGCTGCCCAAACAAATTGCAATTTTATGTTAGCAGTTAGAATAATCTTATCAGTTTTCATTGGTCAAGCTTCAAGTGGAGATAATGAAAATTCAGTACCTAAAAGTGCATACTCAAAGGATACTCGTCGACTGGTTTCAAGGAAGTACTCCTTGCAATCTTTCATAATTGCATCTAGAGGGTAGGATTTCGCACTTGGAACAATTGTTTCTCTAAGTTTCTGGTTTGGAGCATGTAAGCTAAGTATAAAGAGAATGAGAAAAGGTTGTCATTGGCAAACATAAACTAGTGGCATCAAAGGGATCCATTAAGAGGAAATCCATCAAGATATGCATATCACTGGAAGTGGCCCAATTTACTCAGAGACGGATTACAATATTTACAGTGCCAAAGAATACCTTAAGGCCAATGTTGACTGAAGTTTATGAGAAGCCAGCTTTTTAATTGTGTTTGGAACCCCCACAGTTGATATTGTGATCATTCTTTGCCCAATTTGAACATCCTGATGAAATAAGAAAAATGAATTGTACATGAGCTTATTACATCTGAAACCTATGTACAGCCCATCCATAGAAAATTTTACAATAAACAGGATGCTGGTTGTTTCAGAAGTAAATTGCATTTGAAAATGGCAGTGATTTGATGCAGGCATCCATAATCATCTTTGCAGCTCTCTTCTCCACTAACCTTTGAACTAGAAAAATCAACTCCAACGGTCTAATTCCAGGCAAATCTGATCCTAATTCTTTTAGCTCACTATTCCCATTTTCAACCATGCTTACAAAGAAGAAAATTATTCTGGACAAACTAATCATTGCTCATGGCAGGTAAACCAACCAAATCAAGGGGCAAGATAAAGACAATAGTAGGCATGAAAACAATTAACCGAATATAGGTAAGAAGCAATGGGATAATTGTTGGAGAAAAAAAAATTTAATTGCACCTTATTCAAGCATCGGTGTGCTTCAAGTACCGACTTCAAGTTCAACATTGGTTCACCCATGCCCATGAATACTACATTTGTCACCCTGTGCTTGAAGATCTCCTCAACAGCCAAAACCTGTGCATATAAAACATTTAAGTATAATTTGAACAGGTTGAAGCAGTTCCAGAGCTACCAAGTCTATGTTCTCAGATATACAAACAGTAAAACACTCTCAACAGTCCCACTTGATAACTGCATTTGAAGAACAATTGTGGATTGCACCACTGACCTGCTCAACGATTTCATGCCTTTGAAGATTCCTTGAAAAACCACCCTTTCCGGTGGCACAAAATGAGCAGCGCAAAGGACAGCCTACCTGAACAATAAAAGTAAAAAAAACCACAAGAAAATTATCAGCGAGCCCATAAAAGCACTGCGACCAGGAAAAATTTAATAAGGTTAGTCCTTGATTTGGAAAGTTACCTGAGATGAAACACAGGCAGTAAGCCTCAATGAACCTTTCTCATCTTCAACTGGAATACCAACAGTTTCA